TGACTTTTCAAGACTTCTGAGCAGTAAGGCTTGCCTGGCCCACTGTATCCATACTTCATGTCTGAACTGCTTTGGTGCTTTGTTTGTGGAGTGGGCCAGCTGCATGAACGGCTTGTGGAACCATACCGAACACTACCCTTCTGCATGGCCTCACTGTTGAACACAGAAATGCCTTTGGATGAGAAGAAATCATTGAGCGAGTGGTTCTGCGGGTTGCAAGACTGCTGTTTGGACACGGCTTTTGGAGTCCCTTTGAAGGCACAGCTAGAGTCACCTGCAGACTTGATGCCAACGGGGAAGCGTTATATGCTACTACAAGCGTGTTTCCAATCAAAAAACTGCACTTTGGAAACAGAGAATAATTTTGCTCGTCTTCAATCAATGAAGCGGGCAACTCGGGGCCGCTCTGACATTGCATCTAGTTTGGCGGCAAAGCACCTCTTGTCAGAGATCAAGCTTAGTCACCTCAAGCAGTTCAGACTGTGGAAGAAGAAGACTTCGTCGTCCAGATTACCACATGTTGCAAGCACCAAGGCATTCATGGTATAGTAACAGTATGTTTATTTGTTTTAAGTCAAGTCAAGCTAAGTGAAGTCATTAGCCCATTTGAGACAGTGATAAAGCGTAAACAAATTGAAAACAATGTGTGCTTTGCATAGTAAGACTGCACTGTTTTTTACTTGGTGTCTTCTTTCAGCGGACTCAAACTTAGAACGCTGCAACCAGTTCATTTTGCACCTTTGCTGTAGATTTCAGTCATGGCTAGTCACAATATTGAGACACACATATCATATATAACTTTAAGTGCAGTTCTTCCACAACCCATCCAGATGGCAACAAAAAGCAGGAATATGTTCAATGAATGTTCAAGTCTACAGCACCTGACTCTTGTCTTTAGTTTCTGGGGTGAGAGTAGTACACAACTATATTCAAGTCCTGAGGGTCATATAAATGAGCAACTTAGGCAAGAAAAAGAAGACACGTGCCTTGTTGAATGGCTATTCACTTCATGTTCGTGATTCCATGGCTAGAAGAGTTCCTGAACCTGGTGAGACAGCAGAGGAATGCCGCAAGCGCACACTTCAGGAGTCTCTGGTTTCATGGAAGGAGAGCACTGCTGCATACAAGAAAGGATGCAGTGAGCATGCCAAGGGCATTAACAGGTGTTCTCGAAATTGCGAGTCTATTTGCAGCCTTCAAAACCAGCAGAATGTGGAGAAACAAGCCCAGGTGGAGCAAGAAGCTCTTGCAGCCTATTCAGATCAATGCGCCAGTCAATGTATCGCCAGCTATAGACCTGCCGCAGGACTTGGGGCAATGGGCCTGCGGGATACAAGATTTGGTCTTGCTGAAGCTACTGTCCAGGCTGTCGATAGTGCGCACAAGGGCTTTGTCAAAACCTGGAGTGCAAAATGGCGCACCGAAGCCAACAGTATTTGCCCAGAGAACCTGGAAATGAAACAAGCTACTGCTGGTAGAGTCCGCCTTTCCTGTTTGCAAGAGTGTCTGGTTTGCACAAAGACACACACATTGAAGTGCTTTTTAATTTTCAATTGTCATTTTTACTCTCTAAACTACTTTAAATTTTAAACTTAAATTCAAACTCAATATATTGTTTGCTTATCTGATTCCTATTTATTCATCTTCACTCCCTTTGCAATGAAAATGCTATGTGAATCTGTTTTGAATAGCTTTGATCACTTGCAAGGTTTGGATTTTGCAAGAGATTGATCACTTGCATGCGCACTTTCTCCAATGTTCAAGAGCAGCTGCGGAGCTTTGCTAGATCGCATAGAAGACTGATGAGTGCTCGTGCCAAGCAGTCAAGCGCAGTGACTTCTCCTCTTCCTCACATTCTCTTGGTTGCTCGGAAGAAGCCCGGCAATATAATTGCTATTATTAGTTAATAATTAAACTAAAATTATTAAAAGAACAAGAACACATATCGTTGCCAATCATTGCTATTGTATATAGTTAAGGTTTCGCACTTCTTTCTGGTCAAGACTGGTTGTCAGCTGTTAGTTTTTGTTTTTGCTTGTTGAAAAGGGGCAATGGTCCCTCTCTTTTGCTGGGCTGCACTCATGATCAATGAACACAGTTGAACAAAGAAGTCCAGAAGTAAGGAAAGATGTGTACTGCAAAGGATGGCTCATGTCCTTTGTCCAGTACAATCCGCTTTACACATCATGGTGGGAATGGAATCTGAAGCACACAAGTGGAGATATGTGGGAAGCTTCTCCACGGTTTACCACTTCAGGTAACCTTCCTGCGATTGTCACCCAGCAGGTGCTTGCAAAGGACCTGAGCAATGAGCTTCAGTCAGGAACGGGGATCAAAATGGCCTTGTGCACATACATAGCCACCCAGAGTCAAGGCAAGTCATTTTGGAAACGTGCTCCATTCATTGCATGACAAACATGCTTCTCCTTTTGTGTGTGTGTTTGTCTTTCTGTGTGTGTGGATGTGCTTGTGTATGTTCCCCAGCTCAGGTGAACTCGCTTGACACCTTGGAAGTTACAATTCCAGGTGATGGATCTGACCTTTGGCTTGAAGCTGGTTCATTGGAAGATGGCCTACCCAGTTCTGATGAAGAGGAGCGTGTGAACACTTGCACAAACGCATTTCTTGTGGCAGCTGGGGTAAAGCCGGCAAGGGCTACAGGGGCAAAGCAGGCAAGGGTAGTGAAAGCTGCCCACCACAAACCAGGCGGGCAGTTGAATGAATAAAAAAACACATTAATCATTAAACATTAAACTAACTATATTGGGTGCAAGAACATATACATTTAAGATCACATCTAGTCACTCAGTAGTTGCCTTGTCTCAGGCTCTATGGCTAATGCCAGGAAAGGACACCATCATTGCCCTATAAGTTGGTAAGCTGTTCATTTACAAATCTTGGTAGGTCTAGGGCCCAGGGTGTTGAATGTAAATAATGAGTATGAATAGATAGTTGGAATGGACAGCTGAACCATGTAGGCTCTCGAAAGAGAAAGAATGATCAAGCTCACCACACGACAAAGAGCCAAGAGCAGATTAGTGACGAAGAGAACCCAAGTGAAGATCAGCATTTGATGCAAGTGTGGGAGAACACTCATGCAATTGCACCTTTGCTGCAGTTTGTAACCTCCAGACAAACAGTTTTCATCCAAAAAACGTTTGTTTTTTATTTGTGCTAACATTTGGGTCCAGGCTTTGTTTTTTTCTTAAACCTTGCTACTTGTGCCACAGGAACATGGGTCTTGTGTCATTGTGCCGACTCCTACCTCATCCAGTTCAAAGGCTGCTACTTCAAGACAAGAGGGCACTGCAGCTTCTACTGCTATGTTCACCGTCATTGATGAAGCTAGTGGAAACACCATCCGGCAGGATGCAAAGGGATATGTCTATGTGTCGTGCAAGCATTGTCCATTAGGCAAGGGTGGAGTTCAATACACTATAATTAACAACTAATTAAGTGTGAAGTGTCAAGTGGTTGTAAGTTGTAAGCTGTAAGTTTATATGTTATAAGTTTCAAGCTAGAAAGAAATAATGAAACAAATTGCATCTCCTGTGATATGCTGGGCAGGTAGAATCACACAGCTCAAGCAGGGCACGCCTGCGCATTCCATCAGCATAAAATGTTCTCAGCATCGTGGTTGCCGCAAAATATGTATGCTTTCCAAGCTGCCACAGGGGTTTGAGGCAAGACCTGACAAATGGTCCAGTGGTTAAGGATACTGTGTGTGTGTTTTACTTGCACCTGTGTTACTTGCATTTGTTTGACACAGAAGCTGGCAGGCCAACATCTTGCGATGGCTCCATGAGGGCATTGAGCTATCCAACTATGGTCGGGCAGAGGAGCATATGGAGCTGTCAAACCCTTAGCAATATTGAATAACACACCATTAAGTGCAGGAGGCTGACCAGCTTCCAATCTCAGGTTCGACACATTTGTGATGCGTGAGAACATGTGAGAGGAAGATGTGTGTGTGTGACTGTGGGCGTCTTAAGTGAAGATAAGTTATATATATATATTGTATATTGTATACATTATCCTAAACGGCCTCAGGGCACTGTTGTGAATTGTGAACGCCAATCTTGTCAAAGATAAGATAAATGATGCCTGCAGCCAGCAACTAGCTGTCATGTGAAACCATGCGCGTTGCACAGGGGCGAGCAAAAGGAGTGTACCAACATGGTTGTTCCAACATGTGTCCAGTGTACCTCAGGGACATGTACCTGTACCTGTACATGTGTACATGCACCTGTACCTGTACCCAGTCCACTGTACCCCCTGTGCTTGTGTTGTTTTCCAAAAAATGTGTATTGTTTTTTTAATTTATATATTAAACTAAAAAAAACATTGCCAATTTTCTGAAAAACAACACAAGCACAGGGGGTACAGTACAGTGGGTACAGTGGGTACAGGGGTACAGGTACAGGGGTACAGGTAGAGGGGTACAGGTACAGGGGTACAGGTACATGTGTGGTACAGAGGTACAGAGTGATACAGGTACAATAGATGGACACACAACACAGGTTCATACATGTAGCAGTGCATGATGACCAGTGGCATTTTGCTGCAAGCAACCAACTGCTGTAGAAACGGTTTGAGTGTGCGAGTAATGTCATCCTGCGGTGACTCAGAGCGGGCAGCGAAGAGACCAAGAGTGTCAGCGTTGGGGCATGAAGCTACCGAAAAGCCTCCAGCATTGCCAGCCGAGCTGCTTGAGATATTCATTGGGTACAAACCCAAAAAGTGCCGTTACTGCAAAATATGGAGCAGTGAAAAATCTCCTTGGCCACTTGAGGGCACAGCACTGGGTGCTTGGGCACCACTTGTGGCATGGGCAAGGGGAACACTGGAGAAGCCGAGTTCGGACTTATGCCGTGTGTGCATGATTGTTCCTAGACAGCTCTGAGTGAACTCTGTTTTTGTATTGATGTATATATAGTGTAGTATAGATTCATAAAAAATATATCAAACAATGACAACACAACACACAATGACAACACTACATGCGTCAGGTGTGGATCCAAGCCGGCTATGAAGCAGAGTACGGAACACATGCTAAGTTCGGCTCATCGTTGGAGCAAAACCCCACGCTACTGCATGCATTCTTGGTGGCTTGGAGGTATATGCTGGGAAGGCTTAAGAGGTCAAGTAAAGACTTAGACTTAACTTATTCTAAAACTAAGACTATATAAAACATAAACCATCTAAGGAGTGCAGAGCAGAGCTCATTCGGAACAAGCTGGCAGACCCGTCTTGCAAATTCCGCTTGGAGAGCAGGCTCTCGCAAGTGATGGAGTCTATCAACACAACGCAAGTCAAAGCACAGGGCTTGGAAGCGCCTGAGACATTCTTTGTTGATGAGAATGCGTTTGAAAAGCATTTTGGCCGGAAGATAACAGATGAGGAGCTTGTGACGGAGGAGTTTAATGGAGTCAAAATGCGTGGTGTGACTTGCTTTGTCTTATATGATATATGTGTTTTCTTTGTTTACTTTGATGCACTTCTTGTGATCACCTCATGTTTGCTAGATGCTGTATCAGTATCACATAAACTCAGGCCAACGTCCTTACTGGTAGGGCTGGATGGTTCAAGCGCATTGACCAAGACAAGAATGAAGTCAATCGGGTGGCCAATCTGACTGATGATATCAACCTGGATGCTTCTGGCCAGGCCTTTGACAACATTCATGCGGCAGCAAAGAAGGAGGTCTTCACCAAGCATGTGGCTTCAGTGGAGTATTGTATGTTTCCGCCCATTGTCCACTCCAAGGGAAAGTCTGAGGAGGCGGGTGCCTGAAGTTATAGGGAACAATGCAACATTTTGTTTTTGAAGTTATATATCCATCCATATTTGAAGAGCAATCTTGTGGTGATGTAATTAGTGAATAAACCCTGAGGTTCCTGATGCTGATGGCATTGAGGCGGATATGACTAATCAAGAGCTCCGGAATGAGTCAGAGTCTGATGACGATGCACTCCCTGATGGTGGCGGTCTCATGCAGTTTCTGAAAGGCAAGACTTGGGGCAAGCCAAAGGCTAAGGCAGCTGCCAAAGCGACCGCGGCTGTTGCCAAAGCAGCTACCAAACCTTCCAAAGCATCCGCCAAATCCAAATCAACCGCCACTGCAAACACTGCTGCCGGTACAAGCACTGCTGCTCCAAAGGCTGCTCCAAAGGCTGCTCCAAACGGGCCGCGCCAGACGTCTATTGGAGGAGCTGCGAAGGCAAAGGCCAAGCAGAGGGGCATCAAGCGCGCAGCTGATGAAGCTGATGTCATTGAGAAGGAAGGTGAAGAAGGCGAAGGTGAAGGATTGTCAATGGCAGACAAGGCAGTCCTCTCTGAGTTCAGGATCAAGATGGCTGATTTGCTTGACTTGCAGCCACCAGTTGCCGATCAGGAATACAAGCAATATCTTGCAGAGAAGCTTCAGGGGCTGAATTCCATCAGCGCTGAACTCAAAACCAAGAAGAAGAGTGTTGGCCGTCGTGCCGGCAAGAGTGATGACCCCTTGTTCATTGGCTTGGGCGAGGTGGATGAGAATGTGAAGCTACTTCAGCGATTGGTCAAGAGTCACTTGGTTGTGATTGAGCGGTGTTTAGTATTTAGTTAGTGGTTCTCTTCTCTATAATATATATATATATAAATACTATACTACTTACTCTTGACTCATTACCATTACAATCATTGACACAGCAAAACAAGGCCTCACTGGCACTGTGGCTATTTCTTCCAATTCAAGCTTGCTGATCATCATTGATGAAGCTACCTCTACTTTGGGAGTGACAGTGAACAATGCCATTGTTCGGCGTGCGCTGAAGCATGAGTTCAATGAGAATGTCAAGCTTCGAGAGTGGGAGAAGCTCTTTGACACTACCATGATGTTGTTCAAGGATAGGTGGTCAGGGGCAATTGCTGAGGCTGATGAACTCAATGCCTACGAGCTGTTTTGCCTGTACATGTCTCAAGCAGTCCAGAAGCTTGTGAAGACAGCTTGTCAGAAGATTCGTTCTAAGGAGCAAGTTCAAAACAAGTCAACATTAGATTGAATGTTTGATATGTCCTAATTGCAAATTAAATTGAAACTATATAACATATGTTGCTAATTTATTGTTGTCTAATTTCAATTGTTCCTCAGGAGCCTATCTTTGCAATTGCCAACCGGACATTGCTGGTAAGCTTTGAGTCCTTTCTGGATTGCTTGGCATCATCAACTGTCATGGACCATGATGTCAAGGAGGATGGTGCCATTGTGCAAGTCCTTTTGAGGGCTGATGCAGCACCCTTGGATCAAGTCCGTGCATCAATCGCCAAGCTGGAGGAGCTTACAAAGGACAACCAACATGCATTGCGGCTTGTTTCATTGGGCATTTAGTGAATACATAGAGACATCGATTGTTCTAATTGAAATTGTTGCGCTAGCAGAGTGTTGAGTATTGTATATTGTAGACTGCAACACACATATAGGTCCGCAGCGAAGCCAGTGACAGCAGCTATCATTGCAGTGAATTTGGCCACCAAGCTTCTGGCAGATGCGAAATCCATGGCCGACGTGCGCGAACATGAACTGGGTGAGCAATCGGAATTGACCACCGCCCTGGAAGCACTTCCCAGTTCTATGAGCGACATCAAGAGTGGGGAACCATTTGCTCAAGCGTGCATTGGTTGCCTTTGGTGTTGTTTTGAGTTTTTCTGACTTTGTGCCGCAAAGACCAACCATTTTCACACCCTTGGTAGTTGCTACTTTGTTGCAGGTGCGCTGCTGCTTCAGACGCATCCATCTTGGTGAAGCGTATTGCTGCAGACAAGGTCAGATCACGCTCAATGGGAAAGGATGCTTTGTTCAATGCAAAGCAAGCCATTCATTATGCTAGCTTGCGCCTACTGTTGCACGCGACATGCAAAGAGGTCTGGTGTTGCCAAAGCACTGTGTTCTTGAATCTCTAGGTGTTCACATATATTGAATCAAATGAAATTGACATCATATATCTGGCATCTTGAAGTACTTTTCCCTTGCTTCAGGTTGCACCATGGTTGCTTACAGCGTTGCAGTCCGTTGAGGAGTCCTCTGTGTGCCCTGCGCCACCAGCAGAGGATTGGGCCTGCTGGAAGCATGTTGTGTCCTTGGAAACATTTGGCCTTCTGAAGAAGGTCATTGATTTGTGCGGTGTTATGTCCAAAATATCCTTTGGAATCAAGTCGGGAACAGAGAAATCTGTGGCCGGTATGGACAAGAACATTGATGCATTGCGGAATGCATTTGCACAGCTTCAGGACAAAGCCAAAAGTCAAAAGGTTATTGTTTATGTTATTCATTCACAAAACACTATGAGACTACTATGATATTTGTTGAAACAAAACATATAACTTAACTTAATGTAACAACAACAAACAACTCGGCCACATCACCATCACACATATTGGCAGGAAAAGCTTGATGGAGTGGCGGGCGAACTTGGTGAGGGAAAAGACGTCTTCAAGGGTTTGGTTTCCACGTGTGAGGACTTCACCAATGCTTTTGAGAAGTTGAGCCAGGAGAAGGCGACCAGCACTGTGTCTTCTTACACTACCAAAGTTCTGGACACCCTCAAACACTATATCAAGGACAAAACTCTTGGTGATGTGGCCAAAGACTCTGAGACTCTGCAGCTGCATGCTGCAGCTTTGCCATATGAAGACTCCAAACGTGAGCTGTACTTGCACTTGGCGGACTTTGCTCAGCGCTTGTTTGGAGCAGGATGTTGGGCCAATTGTTTGTTCTTTTTCTTAGGGGTGCAAGTAGTATATAGAGTCTTTAAAGAAAACAGTAATCTAGAATCTCTAGAATCTGGAATCTGAAATATAAAACCTGGTTGCCTCAGGACATTGCTTTGTCTCAATTGAGAGGACCTGACCAAGCTTTCCACGGCTTGTACCACTTTGCGGGAGGTTGCCACAGCAAGTGTGATCAAAGATGTTGTGGATCTTGCTGGCGACGAGTTGCTGACTGCTGATGCGCTTAGCACAGCGTGCGACAGCATCTTTGCCCAAGCTGATGAACTACTTGGCAAGTGGTGCTCTGATACAGTCACTCGCATCTACTTTGTTGCTTTCAACTTTCAGCATTCAACCTTCAAGTTTTGGCTTACCATGCACCTCCGAATAGTAGTGATTTTACTTTGTTGACTCGAAGCAAACAAGGACACGGTGTTGACCTCCATTGTAGATGATGTGCAGAAGCTTGCGTTGCCTGACCCCTCCTCCATCGACTACAAGGATGAGGACATTAATGTGGTTGGTCCATCACTTGACACATTTCCTTCCTTGAAGCAGCTTGATACCAAGATCCTGGCTGCATATGCAGAGAAGTTGCAGCCACATATTGAGAATGTCCAGGTGTGGCTGATTGGGGCAGTGATTAGATATATTCAGATGTCAAGACAAAGCCTACTGTCATCATCAATCAACCTATATATATTGTATAATTACTGACCAGCGATTGTACCAAAGCGTCCTGAACATGTTGGCAGGCTTTGCAAAAGGGTGGATTTGATACCGGCAAGCATATGAAGATGTTTGATGGAGCAGCTGCTGCACGCATTACACTTCTCTCCCTTATGGCCTCCATCGGCTTGATTCAGAATTTGTCCGCCAAGAAGACCGCGCGAGCAGTGAAGGAAGGGAAACCGCTCCCTGACAATTTGCGAGAGTCTCTGACCAAAACTATGGCAGCTTGTACAGAGTTGAACCTTTCCATCCCAGGCACTCTCCAGGCAAAAACGCTTCACTTTTCAAATTTGAAGCGTCAATCCTAGGCAGGGCATTTGAAATTTGAAACTTGAAACTATTTGCAATCCTTTCAGACATCCAAGTAGAGGCAGTTTCTGTTTAATTATTCAGCGCTGTTTTCTTGTGTTTTCACAGTGTGATAGTGCCCGCCCCCCCTTGCCTATTTGTGGATGAGCATTGGGATTCGCTTGTCCTTCATGTTCCGTTCCGGCCAGCAGGGGTTGACTGTGGTTGACTCAACTGAATCCTGATTGGCCTTCTTTCTATCATAGGTAGGAAGATTTGTTGTTGTAGGCAAAATGACAGGCTGGCGCAAAGCGCATCAAACTACCTGGGAAAAGAAAAATACCAGCACTCACGCACACACATAATTGAAGCTTGGAGTGTGGGTTTCTATTTTCTGTGTATCAAGAATCAATAACAATGTTTCCAAACACAGCAGTAGGCCCAAGAGTTCAAGTGTCCAGCTCTTAGTGGGATCATGCCACCACGGAAACGGCCAGCTGCAGCATCGAAAGCTGCAGCACCGAAGCCACAGCTGCACCCTATCCTTTCTAGAGCGGATGTAGCAGCAATCAAAAGGAATTTCATCCCATTGTCGCAAACAGTTGCCAAAGCGACGGCCAAACACAGTGCCAAAGCTGCAGCCAAGACTATGAAGGATGAGTTGGCTTCTGTAGCTGAAGCTGTCACATCAGCCTCATCAGCGAAAGAAGTGGGGTCTTTCGCTGCAACTCAGGACTGTGACTTTTTTGAATCTGTTAACTGTTAATTAATCTATCAATATGAGACTGGTACACACTATTTCAATTGTCAACTGCAATTTGAATACTGGACAATGAAATCATGTTTTTTTCAGGAGGCCTGGGAAGAGATGGTTCCATCAATTGAAGAGATACCGTTTATCCCAGACGATCCAGATGATAATGCTGATGAATGTGGAGAATTTGGAGTAGCTTTGCGTCAAGCAGTGGCAGATCGCAATATGTGCTTGAGAGTATGAAAAAAGACATTCAGGAGCTCTCTGATTT